CAGCCTCCCAGTGTGCTAGGATTATAGGCATGAGCCACCATGCCCGGTCTATATGGAGACTTTTAAATGGAGCCACAGTCAAAGTCTCAGAATTCAAAGACTTTTTAAATCATCCAGTCTGAATTTCCAGCACTATTCCCTTTATCTCTGCTCCTGGAAAACTACTAATGGATCTTTCTTCCACATTTTTTCCTCCTGGGCCCAAAACGGCTTCAGAAGTTTTCTCACCATGACACTTCACAGCCACTATCAGTTCATTGGAAGTAGCACCAATGATCAAAACCTATTTGCCAGTCCTGGTCAAATTCATCTCTCATCCAAGGTAGAAAATCCCTTCCCCAACACTCATCATACGTAGGTGCTGTTGAACCTTGGCCTAAATACTTACAGTGACTTTGGATATCCCAACTCATTTTTCAGCAACTCTCATTCTTAGAACATTCTTATTTTGAATAAAACCTTCTACTTTTACCGATTGGTTCTTTTATGTTGAAACAAGTGAAATTAGAACGTAGTCTGATATCTCCAGCTAAAATGAGAAATTAATATTGATTAATAGATTACTTGATTAACAATTTAAATAATCAATGTTTAGTTAGCACTTACCATGTGACTCTCTGAGTACTTTACGTGAGTTAACTCTTACAGTCCTTGCAACATTCCTGTGAGATAACTGGTTTTATTATCTCTGTGACAGTCAACTAGAGATCCAAATAGCTTTTCCACTCCAAGTTGCCTTCTCTTTTATTTTTTCAAGTTTTCCGTAGAGACGGGGTCTGCCTATGTTGCCCACGCTGGTCTCAAACTCCTGGGCTTAAGTGATCCTCCCGCCTTGGCCTCCCAAAGTGCTGGGATTACAAGCGTGAGACACTGTGCCTGGCCAGCTTCTCTTTTTTAAGTGAAACATTTTAGATCCCCCTCAAGCTTTGGATGTTATTTTCTGGTAGATTTGTCTTTCCACAGGGAATTCCTATCAGTCCATGTGGTCTGAATAGCATTGAATACATTGGTATCTTTTCACCTCCATACTGGGCTCTAAACCTCTGGCAATTATCCGGGCTCTTTGAGTAGTTTTGATTACACGGTTGACACCATTGATCTGTTAAATCACTACCTGGCCAGGCGTGGTGGCTCACGCCTGTAATTCCAGCACTTTGGGAGGCCAAGGCGGGCAGATCACAAGGTCAGGAGATCGAGACCATCCTGGTTAACACGGTGAAACCCCTTCTCAACTGAAAATTCAAAAAACTAGCTGGGTGTGGTGACACATGCCTGTAGTCTCAGCTACTTGGGAGGCTGAGGCAGGAGAATCGCTTGAATCTGTGAGGCAGAGGTTGCAGTGAGCTGAGATTGCAACACTGCACTGCAGCCTGGGCAACAAGAGTGAAACTCCTTCTCAAAAAAGCAAAAAAATAAATAAATAAGTAAATCACTACCTACCCATCCACAAGTTTGCTTTTCTTAAAAACATCTTCATGTTCTATATTTATTCAGTTGGCAATGTAAAAAACACCATCCTACTGAAGTTTTTCATGTTAGTCTTGATCTAGTCTTCCAGCCCACAGGGGACAGGGGTTGTTTCATGATCTTGTTCTGTTATCCAGCCCCTTTTTTCTCTGTTTTCTGTCACCCTTGTAAAATTGTTGGACAGGTCTAAACACACAGCTAAGGCCCCCCTTTCAGTCTAACACTGACCCATGAATATGCTTCTGTTTGCTTCTCTCTGGGAAGCAGGTAAGTGGTTCTGAAAAACATTTCATAGAATACAAATGCCTCTCTTACATTTTTTTTTTTTTTTTTTTTTTGCGAATAACCAGCCTATTTCTTGGAAAGCTAATGGACAGTTGATGCGTTTATTCTAGAAAAATATTTTGGGCTTGGCTGTCACCAAACAGATTCTCGTCCCCAGCACTTGTTTCTCTGGTTTCTGCCTAGTAATTAATGTTGTCCTAAAATAGTGGGAAGAAACTAAAGAGGGTAATTTGCAGAAGAAAACACTCATGCTGCGGAGGAGGGTAGCTTAGCTGTTTTCTTTCCTTTTTTCCTGTATTGTAGGGGGGCTCTGTGGTTTGATTCAGAAATTCCAGGTTATGCATGTGGGCCAAATGGTCTTTTTAAAATTTTTGTTTTTATTTTTTTAGAGACAGGGACTTGCTGTGTCACCCAGGCTGGAATGCAGTGGCATAATCAGCTCATTGCCACTTTGAACTCATGGGTTCAAGTGATCCTCCCACCTCAGCCTCCTAAAGTCCTGGGATTTTAGGCATGAGCCACTGTTCCCGGCTCCAAGTGATCTTTAGTTGGTACCTCTTGCTTTGTGGCAGTACTGGTAGGGAAAGGCAGACGGGAGGATGAGAGGGAGCACCTTAACTGAATGGAGGGAAGAAAGAAGGACAAAGGAAATGGAAAGGACATTCACTAAGCACCTACTATATATTGGGCACTGTGTTTAATAGTCATCCAGTGAGGCAAGCTAGTATACCCACTTTTAGATGAAGAAGCTGAGGCTCTGGGAGGTGATACATACAGACTTTAACAGGTATCAGTGATATGATAAGTGTGAAAGTCAGGATGTAATCCAGGGTCTGTTAGATCCAGCATCCGGGTCTTTCTACTGCAACACAATGCCTTAGGGAATCAGCTACCTCTTAAGAGGAAGGGGAGGTGAGGAGTGTAAATGGAAAGAAAAAGAGAGCTAGAGTGAAGCAAAGAGACAGAGAGGGCCAGGAAATTCTGAGATTATCAATGGCTCTGGGCCTGCTGGGATGGAGGGCTTTCAGGGCTGCCATAGACCTTTTGGAATCACCTGTGGTGATTATTGCTTTGAGTAGCTCTCTGTCTCTAACTCTGCAGAGGGCCCAGGCTACCAGGGAAGAGATTATTTGGGCCACAGTAAGTGTAGTTAAGCTATAATCTAGGGTTTGGATAAAATCAAGCACCATCTCATCAGGATGCTTGGTCTCTCCTGCTTTTTTAGAAACAGATGCATTTTAGGAAAAAGAGCCATGAAACCTGCATCTTTATAGCCTGTCCTATTTTCTGGTTATCGTCCATTATAAAAATTGGAGTGAGATTTGCAGCACAAAACTATTTTCAATATACTCAATTGAATTTCTTTTCTGAGTTTTATCAACACTCTGTACTGCAACTGGGATTTCTTCTTCTTTTCCCCTGACGTTGTAGAAATATCACCCATGATTGTGACTATTCGTGTACTTGTTGGGGTCTCTCACCCTGATGGGGCACTTATTAAGTAAGGGATGATGTGATTTCTCTTTGGGTATCCCACACTGCCTGCACAGAGTAATTTTTCATAGTAACGAAATATTGAAAACAAAAAATAAAGGCAAATTGGAACTCAGTTATCATAGCACTGAGTCGAACTGCCGTAGGTGTCCACTCTGATGGCTCATGGTCTTAAGTACCAAAATATCCTCAATTGGAACTCTGTCTGGGAAGGCCAACCCTGCAGTCTGGACTTCTGTGACAGTGGGGACCCTAGGACTTGTTGACCAGCAGAGGTTTCTGTGCTGTGCAAATTCATTTTAACTGTGCTTGCATCCTTTTGGAGTAGATGACAATTGGTAATTCTGAATTGAGATGATTTCAAAAGCTGTACTTCTGGTGCCATGCCTGAAATTAGTTTGAAATAGGAACAGCGGGGGAACAAATTGTATTGTGTGCAGTATCAAGCATTTCCCTGGCCCTTCTCCCCACTAGCAAGCCAAATTACAGCAGCAGATGGACCTGCAGAAAAACCACATTTTCCGTCTGACTCAAGGACTGCAAGAAGCTCTAGATCGGGCTGATCTGCTGAAGACAGAAAGAAGTGACCTGGAGTATCAGCTAGAAAACATTCAGGTGAGGACTGGGAAAGGGAATCTACTGAAAAATGGTCTGCATGGCTGGGTCCAGTGGCTCATGCCTGTAATCCCAGCACTTTGGAAGGCTGAGGTGGGCGGATCACCTGAGGTCAGGCATTTGAGACCAGCCTGGCCAACATGGTGAAACCCCATCTCTACTAAAATTATAAAAATTAGCTGGGCGTGGTGGCGGGTGCCTTTAGTCCCAGCTACCTGGGAAGTGTCCCACCTACCCTCTGCGGGAAGACTGAGCTCGTTCGGAAAAAACCGGACCGCAGGTTAGAGGAAATTCCTTAAGTTGAGGCTTTATTGAGAGGAAAGAGCCTCCGGGCGGGCCAGCCGGGACGAAAAGGAAAAATGGCCGCGCCGCTCAGAGGGGCAGGGTTGTTTTATAGGGGGCAGAAGGGCTGAGGGAGTGGGGAAGCCGAAAGCCAAAGTGGTGGGCAACTGTTGGTCAGTTTGAACTGCTGGGTGGGAAGCTGGGCGGCGGGAGGGCTAGGGCCGGTATGTAAAGTGAGAGATAAGGGAGCCTCTTTGTGGGGGAGGGAAAGAGAGAGAGAGAGCTTTCGCGGTAGGGGCAGAGTTTTCCAAACAGGAAGCTGAGGCAGGAGAATGGCTTGAGCCCTGGAGGTGGAGTTTGCAGTCGGCCGAGATTGCGCCCCTGCACTCCAGTGTGGGCCACAGATCAAGACTCTGTCTCCAAATAAATAAATAAATAAATAAATAAAGTCTGCAGTGGCAAAGCATGATGGTGCAAAGTCATCTGGTAAAAGTGTCAGTATCTTTGTGCTACTTATTTTGTGTATTTTCCTCAAGATTTTATTTTCAAAGATTTTAACCATTCAGAGAAGTTGGAAGATTTCTATAGTGACCATGACCTATAATGAACCAGTTGCTATTTTTACTTTTTCATCTATTTATCTATAAATATATCTTTTTTTCTCCTTTGCAGTAAAATTGGGACTAAATAAATACTGACTCGGTACTGTTTGTGTTGGATTTTCATATGTTAGTATCCTAACAACTTCACTTTTTAGTTTCTTCAAGTCCCAGCCTTAAAAATATACTTCTGTCTGGGTCAGAGGTTATTTTGTTTTCTTGAATTTTAGGTTCTCTATTCTCATGAAAAGGTGAAAATGGAAGGCACTATTTCTCAACAAACCAAACTCATTGATTTTCTGCAAGCCAAAATGGACCAACCTGCTAAAAAGAAAAAGGTGAGTCAAAGTGTTTGAGAAGTGGGAGTTGTCAGTTTCACTCATCATTCATGGTTCAGTGGACACCACTGTGATATACAATCATAGAAACATAGAAGAAAACCAAGTGCACATTTTTTTTGTTTTATTTTCGGTTGAAAAATAGATTTTGAGATAATTACAATAGGTCTTATCAAAAGATATCATTGATCAAGTCTAACAGACTACTTTCTGTTTATGGCCATTGAAATAATAGTATCTTTCTCTGTTAAAGAAGTAATCCCTCCGCAGTCCACACATACACATAGCAGCTGGGGCAGAGGGGGTGTACACAGAGAGAAAGATTTATACCTAAGTCATGCTTACTTGACTCTAGAGGGAGTTAGCAAGTACGAGGATAGGGCTTCAACTGTTCAGGTCCTTGTACCACACTCCAGAGAGGACTTTAACAGTGGTCTAGTCCAGTCCTTTTGATTGGCTCACAAAGAGACTGGAACTCAGGGAGCTGGAGTGACCTCCCTGAAGTGTCTGACCAGACAGTTATCCCCTCTGCCAAGTACCAAACATCCCTTTTAGACTGTAAGAGACAAACAGATGACAAACTAGGGGCAGGGTTATATGTAGCGCACATGAGAAGATTGTTTTTCATAAGCCTGATCAATACATGCTTTTCCAAACCACTGAAGCCTTCATACTAGGTTTAGCCAGGTGTTTTCAGTTCCAGAAAAGTGCCGGAGGAGCTTGCAGTTTCCTTCTAAATGCAGAAGCATACCATAGTGGCAGTGGCAGTGGTTTTACAGGGGAGGCCTTGATGACTTAGAATACCTAGGAGAAAGGAGTGGAGGACTGAAGTTGACAGTGGTCTCTGTATTTCCGGTACCATCTTCACTGTAAGGGGATAAGCCCAGCATTCAGAGGCTGCCTCCCACTAGACATTGGCTGCACGGGAAGGATTTTCTTGCATGCTGCGTGACTGTATATGGTTGTTATGCTTACGATATTTAATCTTTTTTATTTTAGCAGTGAACTGTTATCTGGTTATGTCACTTGATTTAGTTAGGGTGTTTCCATTTGTATTTTTTTTTAATTAACTTTTTTTTAAGTTGCATTATTCTGTTTTCCTTTTTTTTCATGTAAATATTTCCATCTGCATTCTTTATTAGTAAGTCCCTTGTTTTGACCTCATTTTAGCATTCCTTTTTAAATTTTGCTTCCTTTTACAAAACACTCATCTCTGTGTCTTGTAACTGAGCATCATGAGGCATATTCCAAGGCAAGAGTGACCTCTGAACCATCTCTCCTGACTCCATACACCATACTCTCCTGATTCCATTTTTTGAATGGGAAAGACTCAGGACATGACTCTCCTGTCTTGGCAATGCTAAAGGAAGAGGTGGCCACTCAAGCATCTTTAATCCTCTTGGTGAAAACTTCCGCACCCCTATTTTTTTCAGCCGGCTGGAACAGGCTGTGGCTCAGCCTACCCTTCCCCCCCTTCACATGCCATTTTTACTAAATACACTTACAGTGAGTATGCTCCTGGCTTTTGTGGTTTGCTCCTCCCGAGTCAGATTTCCTTTAGCTAGTTTCAAGTGCCAGTTTCCAGGAGTTAGGAGATATCTCTGTTTCCATTGCTAGGGTTTATTTAGTCGACGGAAAGAGGACCCTGCTTTGCCCACACAGGTTCCTCTGCAGTACAATGAGCTGAAGCTGGCCCTGGAGAAGGAGAAAGCTCGCTGTGCAGAGCTAGAGGAAGCCCTTCAGAAGACCCGCATTGAGCTCCGGTCTGCCCGGGAGGAAGGTAGGGGCTCGCTCTCTCCAAAGTGCTCAAGGCTGTGGAAAAGGCAGAGGATTGATCTCCCTGAGATCAGCCAAGGCTGACTAATTCAGTGTCTTTGTTTACGGCCCATATGCTTTCCGCCCAGACATCCCATGTCTGAAAAACGTATGGCCCCTGTGCGTTGACAAGTGGATGTGACGCATATTCTTTTAGTCTCAGGTCCTTGAAAGACAGCCCAGGGACGATCCACTTGGCTTGGTCCTCTAGGTGACCCAGCTAACCAAAAGACATTGTCCTGGTCTCTCTGCAGCTGCCCACCGCAAAGCGACGGACCACCCACACCCATCCACGCCAGCCACCGCGAGGCAGCAGATCGCCATGTCCGCCATCGTGCGGTCGCCCGAGCACCAGCCCAGTGCCATGAGCCTGCTGGCCCCGCCGTCGAGCCGGAGAAAGGAGTCTTCAACTCCAGAGGGTATGTTCTCAAGGGGCCGTTGGTGTTGTATGGAAATTTCTTTTGATCGACTAAGACATGCAGGCATATGGTAAAGATTACAAGTAATACTAGGGGATAAAGATTAAGAAGTCAGTCTCCCGGTTCCCCATCCTCAGATTCCTCACCCAGTGTCAACCATTGCTTTTAGCCATTGTATCCTTCCAGTGATAGTTCATGTAGGGGTCCACATGTCTATATCATTCATGTATCTTACATTATGTGATTATATTTAAATAATATGAGAAAATAGGCTGGGCGCAGTAGCTCATGTCTGTAATCCCAGCACTTTGGGAGGCTGAGGCAGGCAGATCACCTGAGGTCAGGATTTTGAGACCAGCCTGGCCAACATGGTGAAACCTCGTCTCTACTAAAAATACAAAAGTTAGCAGGGTGTGGTGGCATGCTCCTGTAGTCCCAGCTACTTGGGAGGCTAAGGCAGTAGAATAGTTTGAATCCAGGAGGTAGAGGTTGCAGTGAGCTCAGAAAACACCGCTGCACTCCAGCCTGCGTGATAAAGTGAGACTTCATCCAAAAAAACCAAACAAACAGTATGAAAAGATCTCTCTCTCAGCTCTTTTTTCTTTTATAAATATCGTAACGGTTGCTCACGCCTGTAATCCCAGCACTTTGGGAGGCTGAGGCGGGCGGATCACCTGAGGTCAGGAGTTTGAGACAGGCCTAACCAACATGGAGAAACCCTGTCTCTACGAAAAACACAAAATTAGCCAGGTGTGGTGGCACATGCCTGTAATCTCAGCTACTCAGGAGGTTGACACAGGAGAATTGCTTGAACCTGGGAGGCAGAGGTTGCGGTGAACTGAGATCGCGCCACTGCATTCCAGCCTGAGCAACAAGAGTGAAACTCCGTCTCAACAACAACGACAACAACAAAAAGCACATCTCTCTCTCAGGACTTTTTTCTTTTACAAATATGACAGCACACTACAGTGTACAGTGCAAGACACTTTCATTTCATTAAAATACTATCTTAGAGGGTTTCATATTAGTACAAAAGGACCTACCTCATCCTTTCAGAAAACCACACGGTATTCTGTGGTGTGACTCTGAAATTCATCTGTTAAATCAGACTCCTGCTGATGGCCATTTAGGTTGTTTCCAGTCCCTTGTTACTGTAAACACCTTGCAGAGGACATCCTGTGCCTCTGTGGGTGTTGTGCCTGGAGACATTCCTGGGAAATGAATCACTGGGTTAAAGGTTACATACATTTTGAGTGTTGGTAGTGTGTGCCAATGTCTATTTCTGCCGGCAGTGTGAGGAGTTTTCTTTCTGGTCTCAAATGTACTCTGTTTACCTAGAGCTGAAAAGGACTTTAAAAAAAGCCAAGAAAGCTGGTTTGGAGTGTCCTAGGAAGACTAGGGTAGAGCTGCAGTTTAGCATCATGGCACTGCAATCAAACCTGTTTGGGTTGTAAACCAGATGGTGTTTTGTTGTTGCTGCTGTTTTTCTTTAGCCAGAAGTCCTTTTCTTATATAACTTCTTGAATCAAAGAGCTTTACTTAAAAAAAGATTTTTTTTGAGACGGAGTCTCACTCTGTCGCCCAGGCTTGGAGAGCAGTAGCGTGATCTCAGCTCATTGCAGCCTCTGCCTCCCAAGTTCAAGTGATTCTCGTGCCTCGGTCTCCCAAATAGTTGGGATTACATGTGTGTGCCACCATGCCCCGCTAATCTGTATTTTTACTAGAGACGGGAGTTTCACCATGTCGGCCAGGTTGGTCTTGAACTCCCGACTTCAAGCCATCCACCTGCCTTGGCCTCCCAAGGTGCTGAGATTACAGGCATGAGCCACGGTGCCCTACCAAAGAGCTTTACTCTTAAAGTCACTAAAATAGTGATGACAAATAGAAGCAAGCAGTGCTTCTGGCTGTGAAGCTTCCATGAATAGTGATAATACTGCAGTATAGTGCTTCTTCAGGTATATTGCACCAAACAGTTTGAAAGTGCATCCCTGTTATTTATTCCTTGCACCTTTCCAAGAAAGGAAGGGGGATGATGTTATAAGGAGAGCATATCAGAGTTGGATTCGCAAATTTTGATCTTGAGATTTTCTCTCCATAGTAGTCCCCTATTATCCGTGGTTTCACTTTCCGTGGTTTCGGTTATGTGGTCATCTGCAGTCTGAAAATAATAAATGGAAATTTCCAGAAATAATTGTTAAGTTTAAATTGTGTGCCATTCCAAGTTGCAAGAAGAAATTGCACATGGCCCTGCTCCATCCTGCCTGGGATGCAAATCATCCCTTTGTCCCACATATCCACACTGTATTTGCTCCCTGTCTGTTAGTCACTTAGTACCTGTCTTGGTTATCAGATTGAAAAAACGGTATATACAGAATTCAGTACCATCTGTGGTTCCCGGCATCCACTGGAGTCTTGGAATATAACCCCTGAGCATAAGGGTGGATTATTATATTGAAAGTTGCTTCTAATTAGTTAGGTTGCTGTTGAGAGGGTGCCTATTAAATGGAAAAAAATTAATCTTGTTATTTTTTTTTTCTCTTTGTGGAGAACAGGGTCTCACTACATTGCCCAGGCTGATCTTAAACTCCTAGGCTCAAGCAGTCCTCATGCCTCTGCCTTGCTAAGTGCTAGGATTATAGGCATGAACCACTGCACCTGGCTAATGTTCTTAATTTTAACAGACTGGAATACAAATGTAGGAATCTGTTCTTACATTTAAATTTAAACTCTTATATTCATAAAAGTTGGATTTTAAGCAAAAGGAATTTATTCTTAGAAAAACTGGACATAAAAGAATTCTTCAATTTTATATATTTGATAATTAGAAATTCTATAATTCATAATAGTGATTTTTTAAATTGGATTCTGAAAAGCTCTAGATACATGGAAAATAAAGCTTTCATGACTAAAATATTTACAATTGATTTAAAAGCTTATTTTTTTATGCCCACAGACATCTGTGCCATTAAATAGCCAGTCAGTCTCGTACCAGTGATATGTTCTTAAAGACTGATTCTTAATAAGTGGATAATGGAGATTTTAGGTTGAGTTTTATAAATCTAGATGCATCTGTTAGTGTTAAAATAGTTTTGCAATCTGTAACTAACCTGTTCTAACGGTTTTATTGAGATATAATTTGCATACTGTACAGTTCATTCATTAAACATGTACAATTCAGTCTTTTTCAGTAAGTTTACAGGGCTGTGTAACCCTTATCACATTCTAATTTTTTGAATGATTTTGGCACCTCCACCCAAAAAATACTCCATACCCATTATCAGTCCCCCACATTCTTCTTCCACTAATGTTCCTCTTGGCAACTGCCAGTCTACTTTCTGTCTCTGTGGATTTGGTCTCTTGGACATTTCATATAGATGAATCATACTGCATGTGGCCTTTTGTGTCTGAGTTCTTTCACGGAATGGAATGTTTTCAAGGTTCACCTGTGTTGTAGCATGTATCAGAACTTCATTCCTTTCATGGCCAAATAATATTCCATTGTGTAGATGGCACATCTGATTGTCCATTAATCCATTTGTATTAGTGCATTTTCATGCTGCTCATAAAGACATACCTGAGACTTGGTAGTTTATAAAGAAAAAGAAGTTTAGCCGGGCACAGTGGCTCACGCCTGTAATCCCAGCACTTTGGAAGGCTGAGGCGGGCAGATCACCTGAGGTCAGGAGTTTGAGACCAGCCTGGCCAACATGGCGAAACCCTGTCTCTAAAAAAAATAAAAATAAAAAAAAAAGGAAAAAGTAAACTGATGATGGTTTATATTCACTCTTCTCATTATCAGTGATTCCCTAAAAAAAAAAAAAAAAAAACCAAAAAGAAAAGGAAGTTTAATAGATTCATAGTTCTATGTGGCTGCGGAGGCCTCACAGTCATGGTGGAAGGCAAAAGGCATGTCTTACATGCTGGTGGCAAAAGAGAATAGGAACTAAGCGAGAGGGATTTCCCCTTATAAAACCATCAGATCTTGTGAGACTTTTTTAGTACCACAAGTACAGTATGGGCGAAATCACCCCCATGATTCTATTATCTTCTACCAGTTCCCTCCCAACACATGGGAATAATGGCAGCTGTAATTCAAGATGAGATTTGGGTGGTGACACAGCCAAATCATATCACCATTGATGGGCATTTGGGTTGTTTCTACTTTTTAGCTGTCATAAATTGTGCTTCTGTGAACACTTATCTGCAGATTTTTGTGGGTACATATGTTTTCAGTTCCCTTGGGTATATGGCTAGGAGCAGAATTGCCGGATCCTGGGGTAACCATGTTTAACCGTTTGTGGAACTACCAGACTGAGTTCCAAAGTAGCTGCACCATTTTTACATTCTCACCAGGAATGTGAGGGTTCCAGTTTCTCCACATCCTCAACAACACTCATTTTCCTTGTTTTAGACTGTAGACATCCTAGTGGTTGTGAAGTGATGTCTGCTTAGGGTTTTGATTTGCTTCTCCCTAATGACTAATAATGTTGAGCATCTTTTCATGTACTCGTTGGCCATTTATCCTCTTTGGGGAGATGTCTGTCTAAATTCTTGGCTCATTTTAAAATTGGGTTGTCTTTTTATTGTTGAGTTGTAAGAGTTCTTTATATATTCTAGATAGGTGTCTCATCAGAAATTTGGTTTGCAAGTATTTTTTCCCATTCTGTGGGTTGTCTTTTCACTTTCCTGTTGGTATTGTTTGCAGTACTCTAATGATTTTTTAAAACATTTTCCTCCAGAATTTAGTCGGCGTCTCAAGGAACGCATGCACCACAATATTCCTCACCGATTCAATGTAGGACTGAACATGCGAGCCACAAAGTGTGCTGTTTGTTTGGATACCGTGCACTTTGGACGCCAGGCATCCAAATGTCTTGGTAAGATCAGCATCTGTGCATGTGTGCTGGGCACCTGTGCGTCTCCAGCTAAAAAAAGTCGATCAGGTGGAGGTGATTTTTTCCTAACTCATCATGTAGTGCATTCATTTTCGAGCTTCTTATTTCAGTGGGAGGATGCTATTTTTCCCCTGTTAAAGCTGTGAGTTTATATATGTCTGCAGCTCAGGACTCTAACCTGCTGTTCAAAGTGCCTTGGGCTTTGCTAATTCCCAGCCCCTTTTTGTCAGGCTGGTCTCTCCTTACCTTTCCGCTGGCTCCAATGGAAACATGCAGACGTGTTCTTTATACACCTGTTTGTGGGCAGCCTGGATTGAAGCCTGGAAAACTGGGTCAAGAGCACTTGGCACTTTCGTTTCCCTTTTCTGCATGGGCCTGGCACCAAGGAAGCTCAGGAGACTACCTGCAAGTCAGGGCCAGGCTCTCTGGGCCTGGCTGGGGGTAGAGAATCCCTGGGGTTGGCTGGCAGAGGAAGAGAAGAATCCAGGGTCGGCTGAGCATGCCCTCAGGTGGCTCACTGTTCTTTTCTAGAATGTCAGGTGATGTGTCACCCCAAGTGCTCCACGTGCTTGCCAGCCACCTGCGGCCTGCCTGCTGAATACGCCACACACTTCACCGAGGCCTTCTGCCGTGACAAAATGAACTCCCCGGGTCTCCAGACCAAGGAGCCTGGCAGCAGCTTGCACCTGGAAGGGTGGATGAAGGTGCCCAGGTACCATGGCAGGGTGGCTTGGACTGGAGCAGGTGCTGGCACAAGCCACTTCTGTCCCTGATGTTTTCTAGGGAAGTGTCTTTTCTAGGAACTCTCCCACCTCTACCACCCCCTCATCCCGTCCTCCTCCAGCCTGATGATTCTTCTGAGTTCAGACATTTTTCTTTTCCATCTTTCTTTCTCCAGGAATAACAAACGAGGACAGCAAGGCTGGGACAGGAAGTACATTGTCCTGGAGGGATCAAAAGTCCTCATTTATGACAGTGAAGCCAGAGAAGGTAAATTAAGAATTTAGGGGGAAGGTCGTTGCACGTGGCTAACCCAGGTCTCCCCAGTGCTGGCGCGAAGGCTTTGTTTTTTGGACTGCCTTGCAAGCCTTCTAGCTTTTCCATTTTTGAAACTTACAAACCAAATGACTTCTCTAAAGGTTATTGGTGCGATACTCACATCTATAGGTCTCCCCCCTGAAGAACCCGCAGGGCGCTGCCCTGAAGATTCCACCTGCTAATACACCTTCCGAGAACTTCTGCCTCAGTCAACTAACCCATAAATCCGCATCGTCATCAGAAATTTGACTGTGCTACTCATCTGACACACTTTATTTTTTTTTATCTTCCCTCTCTGCCTTCTCTGCACACCTCTGTCCCTTCTTTGTTCTCGTGCGCCTCTCTTTACACACGTACCC